TGATGCTGTCACCTACACTAAACACGCCAAGCGTAAGCGGCCATGGATGTCATCTACGTTTTTGAAGTGACAGAGACGCACTCTGTTTGGTTTCAGAGGTTAAATCATCACCAACATTGGAAACAAAACGGCTCTTTTCAGGGCCACCAAGCTTATTACAGTAAAGAGTAGGAATAGAATTCATCTGCCTGTTTGCCCAGATTCAGAACCACCGACCACACAAAATGCTCATGTGATCAAACTGGAAGCAGGGATACAAATTGTTTTGATCAACCTTGATCAACTTTAAATCGCCACGGCCGGATATTTTCGATGGAAGAAGCAACAATCTAGCATCTAATTCGACGAAGACGGCAGGAAACATTTCTGGATCAACAATAGAATAGGGTCCATCAGCATTTGTAAACAAACCGTTCCAAAGCCAAACATCTTGTAGGTAGAAGTTTCCCCTATCCGATGATGGTGTTGGTTTGTGTGGGTGGTCTTCGCTTTGTGAGTAAAGGGCTTTGGAACGGTTTGTTTACAAATGCTGATGGGCTCTTTCCTATTGTTGATCCAGATTTGTGAAGCCGAGTTATTTACGAAAGAGAGAATCGATCAATGTAGATAGGACCTATTGAAAAGTGACGCGAGATTTGTTTTCCGTACTGAGCTCCAATGCTACCGACGCCAGGGAGGCAGCTCCCAGAGATGTTATGCCTTAGAACATGCCGATGGCGCCGACTGAGATTGGACCCAGGCCTGCTGGGGTGAGAGGTAACCACGCTAACCACCGGCGCCGATATCTATCACGGCGAATGAGAACGACCCAAATTTGAGTTTAGTTATCTCAGAAATAAGTGCAGGAACTCATCGATGAGTAAATATTCCTCATTTTTTCCCAGGTTTTTCCAGGATTTTCCAGGGAAAAATTCCCGAATTTGAGAAAAGTAAAGATTGGATTCACTCAGTCTATTGGTACTACTCCGAGACTGAATAAAATTTTCGTCAATTTCCTCATTTTCTGGCAGATTTTTAAGGTTTTCCACAGGAAATCATGAGACAAATTTACTCATCGCTGAGTTCCTACACTTTTGGCGATTATGAGTGAACTAAACTCAAATTTGGTGCGTTCTCATTCGCCGTGTACGCAAAAAGAAAATAGCCAGTGTCGCTACTTGATAGCAAACTACTCATAATGGGAGGAGTCTTTGTAGCTTTTATAACACTTGGTTGTACATCATTCTGCTTTAACCTAAAAAGATATAAAGCAGCGCTGCTGTCTGGTATCAGCTCATTTTCGCTTCGGACGGCGTGGTGAGCAATAGTAGCAGTAGGTCGTGGCAAAGGAGGTGCCAATCGTCATCGCAAATTCTTCGAGATAACCACCATCCGTCATCTGGCTCGCCGTCGCAGTGTCTGACGTATCTTCGGTCTGATCTACGAGGTGTGCTGAAGATGTTCGTGGAAAATGAGGTCCGTGATGCTGTCACCTACACTAAACACGCCAAGCGTAAGTGGCCATGGATGTCCTCTTCAATAAAACGGCCCTTTTCAGGGCCATCAAGCTTACATCAGCAAAGAGTTGGAAAAGAATTTATCTATGCTTGTTTGTCCATATTCAGAACCACAAGCCCCCAACGACCACACAAACTTGGAAGCAGGGGTGCAAGTGATTTTGATTGATTCAGGGTGGCCAGCAAACCGGGAATACCGGGAAATATCCGGAAATTTGGAAAGTAACCGGGAAAACCGGGAAAAACCCGTGAATTCTGCAAGAGAACCGGGAAAATAAATTAACCATATCATAGGAACAAATTTTTACATCAGAATTTCAGAATAAACCATTAAAACAGAGTGATCCTTTAGCAAAGGAATGTCTTGCACTATTTGTTGCATAATTTTCTCAGCAATATTGCAAATTGATTTTTGTCGTTTCAATTTCAGATGTAAAGTGCATGGTCCTCTAAAGAAAATATTGAAGATGCTGGAGTTTGGAAACAAATATTTGTAAAAACCGAAGCTGAATTATTCTTTTCCGGGGTTTTAATTTTTCGTTGTTCAAAATTCTCATGATGAATTCCAGAATTAACTTGGAATTCTGCTCTGAATTATCTTGAAATTGTTCTGAAATAAACCAGAAAACACTCCGCGTAATAATTACCGTTGAATTCTTTTAGGAATTTTCTTCCAACCCCTTCTAAGAATTTATTGGAATCCTTCATATAATTCCCGTTCCCGCCTATCCGGAGACTTTGATTCCTTTAAAAATCTTTTCAAACATTCCTTTTAACTCTATTCAAAACAAAAGAAATCTTTCGAAAATTAATTTATAAACCCCTTGGAGTATTTTAAAGAATTTCTTTCTAATTATCAGCAAATTTTTTGAAATCAATTTTGTTTGGGTTATGTGCCAGAACATTTTAAGAACTCTGTTTCTTGTTGAATGCCGATCATAATTCTATTGGAATTCTTCTTAAAATTCATCTGTCATGTTCCTCACGATGCCCATACAAATCTTATCAGAACCACGTAGGAATTTTCTGCAATGTTTTATTTTTATTTTCACAATTCTTTTTTAAATCTACTAAAATAACCTAACAGTTTAATTTAGAACTTGCATTCTTCACCAAAGAAATCCTTCCAAATTCATCTAACAATTTCTATGGATTTCATGTAAGAATAATTCTGGAAATCTGCTCTTCTCCTTCGAAAACTGTGTGGGAATCCTTCTCAATATTTGTTTTTAATCAACACTTTGAATTCTTTTAAATTTTACTAAAAAATCCAGGGTTTGTCCGCCAGACTCTACAGATTGCTATGCAATTTGTTATTACCCTTAAAATGCTTCCAAGTCTCAGAGCGTGACAATTATGACTGCACGACTCATAAGTATGATGTTTTTTTTTTATAAATCTGTGATCTTGGAAAAAATTAAAAATTTCACATTTTAATTATTGTTTCCCCAAATCTTGCATCACGAAGCATGTTATTAATCACAAATTTTGAAGAAAAGTTCTAGTTTCTGACTCTACACAAATTTCAAAGCTCCAGAATCTTGGGAATCTTCTTAAATCAATTTTTTTTATCCTATCAGTAAATTTTGTTTTTTTTTTTTGTTGCATATTAACAACCGGGAATTATTAAGTTTTGAACCGGAAAAACCGGGATTTTCAAAATGAAAATTCACTGGCCACCCTGTTGATTCTCGTAATCAACTTTTTTTTTGAAAAAGATTACTACAAATTTGGATCGCCTACAATTCAAAACCGGAAAGAGTTGATATAATAGATATTTCAGGCATAACATTTGATAACGGCACAAAAACAAACCTTCTTAGGCCCTTTACACGCGAACCAAAGTACGCCCACGCAAACCAACAACATCATCGCATAGGGGCAACTATCACCTTTCCGTAAGTGGTATTGGTTTGCGTGGGCGTACTTTAGTTCGCGTGTAAAGGGCCTTAGAATGTTTGTTTACAAATGCTTTTGTGCCGTTATCAAATGTTATGCCTGATTTGATCAATTAAAAGAACTTAATGCTCTTCACATTTATTCCGTCCACTAGCGGTCCTACGTCAAGCTTCCGTTTGTGCCCCTAGGCACAGACCCTTCTACTTTTATTTTCTTCAGCGTATATGCGTCTTGCTTCAGCAAACGAAATACACTGATTGACTTTTATGAGGACAATTTTGTTCTCCTCCTTGTATTTTGGGCAGTCACGTGACGTGACTGAATGCCCGTTTCTGCAATAGAAACAATGAGGTGGATTATCACACTGTTCACCGTCGGCCAAGTGAAGAGGTTGAGAGCATTGCATGCAGACGCTGGTTTGTTTGCAAAATTTGCGAGGATGAACGTAAGCGCCGCAGTTAAAGCAGATCATAGGTGATGGATAATATGGGCGTACTGCGATTCGCACCATACTGAAGTACACATATTTTGGTAAGACCGACCCATGGAATGAAATAACCAGTAGAGGAGTATTCTGCAGTTTGCCGTTAACTCGCTTCTTAATACGTCGAACTGCGTGTACACCTTGCGACCTCAATTTTTTTCTCATCGGTATTGGTGCAGTCCGGATCATACACGGTTCCCTGTATTGTGTTAAGCGTAGAATGAAGGAGAATTTCAATTTTTGACCCATCGTCATTTTTGTCAGTTTTTCGACGATCGTTCTCGAATTGCGGAGAAGATATTGTGATCCACGTCCTTCACGGGTAGCTTTCACGGTTTTGGCTTCCTTTACACCGATTGCCACTTCAACTGATGCTCCTACGATGAATGGATCCGGGAGACGGGAGAAGAGCTGCCGGTCATTTGACCGGAGCTCAGTGAGACTTTTACAAATTCACTTCACTTTGACAATTTTTCGCGACCAACAAACGGGTACCGATTTTCGACACTTTTCAGTTCACACTGCCGCTCGGGACACACTGTTCAGTTCGTTCCTCAATGGGCACTATCACAACGATGTGTGTATTGGTGACGTTATTTTTGCAACCACCGCGTGATATTCGCACTAAATGTTTATCACTTTACAACACTTTCGTTTGGAATCTCACAAAAACTTCACTTTAGCTGAGAAAGCACCACCGAATACAATCACGTGACCACTGACCGTGGTATTATTAGTCAGTGCTACTAAGCAAAAAGATCAATTATTATGCTTTAACAAAATTCTATCCTAACAAATTTTAGTTCAGTTTACTGTGCTTATAGCTGTTGAAAATTAGCTGTAAGTATATTTGGCAAGCTTGCCCTTAAGCTAGGATGAGGAGAACAAAAAGTTCAATTTTCCCACAGTAATTCCCATATGAGCTTCAAAGGTCCAGTGCAGTATGAGTTCGCAACAAAATGAGCGCTAATTTTGGAAGAACTATGAGGACCTGATTTGAAACCGATTTAGCTTGGTGGAACAAAATCGATATTTTGAACCACCCTAGTATACATAACGCTTGAAAACTGACTCTTGATCCGAGGCCCGGAGGGCCAAGTGTCATGTTTCAATCGACTCAGCTTGACGAGATCGCAAAACGTCCATGTGTATGTCTGTATGTATGTGAGCTTGTTTGTATTATTCTTATTTCCCCGTATGTGAGTCTCATTGAAAAAAAAAATCACGATTCACATTGCAGACGCTTTGTCAACGGTCATCAAGTATAAATGGACTGACCTCAAGCATAATGGACCTGCATTTGCTCCTCCGTACGAATGTTTACCAGAAAATGTGTATTTCAAATACGATGGACAGAAAGTTTCGTTGTCCGAACCAGCCGAAGAGATGGCGGTTGCTTACGCCAAAGTGTTGCACCGGAAGTTCGCCTCCGATAAGGTTTTCAAGCTCAATTTCTTCAACGACTGGAAAAAAGTCATGACTTTGGAGCAGCAGGCAGAGATCAAGGACATCAAAAAGTGTGATTTCACAATGATCAGTACGCATTTTTCGCAGAATGATGTACCTCGAGACAAAACTTTAAATGAAAAGTACGGATTCTGTACTATTGATGGAGTACGAACGGAGATAAGCAACTACAATATGGAACCACCTGGTCTTTTCAACAGCAAAACGTCCAAAAAAGGCAAGTGGAAGAAGCGCATCCAACCGGAAGATGTGACCATTAACTGCTCCGAGGGCTACAAACCACCGGAAGAGCATCAGTGGAAGGCCATCGTCCACAATCGCTCTGTCTCGTGGTTAGCCAAATGGCCAAATCCCATCAGTCGAGGACCCAAATACATGCGACTTAGTTCGAGTGCCAAGCTGAAAGGTGAAGAAGATCGCAAAAAATACGACAAGGCAGTTGCGCTGGGAACGTGCATCGAACAAATTCGCAAGAAGTATCGGGAGGACTGGGAAAGCGAAGACACCAGACAACTTGCCATTGCCGTATATCTGATCGATACATTTGCATTCAGAGCTGGAGGTGACCACGATGATACCGAAGATGCCGATACGGTCGGTTGCTGTTCACTACGCGTCGAACATATTACATTGGACGATGAGCAGGAAGTTGTGGAGTTCGATTTTCATGGAAAGGCATCTATTCGGTATAACAACAAGCAGAAAATCGAGCATGGGGCCTTCGAGGGTCTAAAATCTTTAACGACCGGAAAAGCACCGAACAAATTGATATTTGACCAGCTGACCACCGATAAAGTCAATAAATATTTGAAGAATTGCATGGATAATTTGACAATCAAGGTTTTTCGTACATTCAAAGCTTCATCTATGCTGGAAGCGGAATTGCAACTGAAGACTGAACCCACCATGACTAAAGAAGAACAAATGCTAGTCTTCCGTAAAGCCAATCAGGAAGTGGCGAAACTTTGCAACCATCGACGAACGCAAAAACTTCTGTTAAACATGCCCACTTCAAAAGAGCACTACATCGATCCCAGAATAGTCGTGGCGTGGTGTTTGAAATTTAACGTCCCAATTGATACGATTTATACAAAGAAACTTCGGAAGAAATTCCGTTGGGCCATAGAGCAGTCTTTGGAAAGCTTTATCTTTTATCGCAAAGGCAATGGCACTGACGGCAACAGTGAGGCATCGTCATCTGAATAGTCCCATTTCCAAAATACCCAATTATGACCACAAAACGCGAAATGACAAATCGGAAAAACTCGACCAGCTCCGATTTGGGTAAATGACTATTTTCTACTTTATGAAACGGTACAAGAACATGTATTTAGGTGGTGCGATAAGTTGCGAAACTACCTACAGGTGGGAATCGAACCCCCACCTTCCAGTACGCTAGACGGGCGCTCTACCACTATGCTACCGTAGACTTGATGCTATCCGGCCCAACTCCCCATGTTTACATCTGTGCGGATCTACTCGCGCTAGTGTACTCGCCAACTAGCACAAATTTTAGTTGCTCCAGTAATGTCATGCTGGTAGACGTTGATGCCCTGTTTACATTATGCTGGTGAGCGTTTTTGCTAGCAGCGAGCTCATTAGCGCTAGTGAACTAGCCTAAGTGTAAACACCACATAGGCGGGATGTGATTCATCATGCCCGCATCACACTTTGCATAATTGTTTGTGAAATGGCGTCTTTGCAATTTTTCAGAAAATGTAGTACGGAAACGAGCAGCGGAAACGGCAGCTCCCACAGCTGGACCCTACCTATCGCCCCATCAACTCATGGACCGGGGACCAACGGTTTTACTTCCGTGATCAGAGATTTGATGCCTCAGAAAATCCCGACGGCGCCGACTCGGATTGAGCCCAGGCCCTTTGGAGTGAGAGGCAGTCACGCTTACCACTATACCACCGGCGCCGCTTGAGACAAATATTGGTTTAGATTTTCCTTCTTTACTTAACTTAAATTTTGGGTGATTGGTTGTAGTTTCATCTTGACATGTTTACCTAGGGGATGAGTACTTAAGGGGGCTAGATTTTGAGTGTTTAGTGGGCTTGACACTGATGAAGACTGCACATTGTAATCGAAATACGTATGCAATTAAATGGAAGATAACATGTTTTGCTGTTTCAAAGCATTCTATTAACAACCCAATTTCATTACTTCAGTAATATCAAGTAAAAAAAAAATGTTAGACACCGGTTGCCATACAGTCCGTACCGTAGTACCAACTCTGCCAGATGAAATTCAAACGGTGATGACGGGCGAACGTCAGAAACTCAGAAATACAGAACAAAGCCCTGCGTGGAAGGCAGAATAAATTACATAATACAGTGAATTAATTAATATTCCTAATACTTTAAACATAATCTTATTACTACAATAAGCTGAGGCTATTTACGTGCGTATTTAAGTGATTTCAGCTGGATAACGTAAGAACGCAACTTAAAACTACTATATTCTTGCACAAATAATTTACCAAACTATAATTAATCATAGATGCGAACTAATCGCGCTCAAAATCGCAGTACAAAGAATTGTGAGTAAAACTTAAAATAAATATGCAATTGAAATGTAACATTTATAAAAGCATATTACCGTGTCTAACCTAAAATACGAAGCCTACACTGAATTGTAAGTCTACATTACACAATATTAACCTAAAACCTAAACTATTGAAAATAAATAAATTCAGTTCATGCTAATTTGCTAAAAGACAGTGTTTCGTGTTTAGTTCATTCGTTGATGATCTATATTTCTTGTATTTGTTTGGTTTACATAAGTTAAACGCAGTTCCAACTCAGCAACAGGAATTGAAAACACAGCAGCAGCACTTAGCCTATCAACGCATGGAAACACCAACACCGGAGCAGCCGAGTCAGCACCAACGACGCCAACGTTGGACACATGCGGAGGATCGGATATCGCGACGGGCAGAGCAACAGTCAGACCATCGTTACTCGGTGCAAGGCCAGCAGTTTTCAGGGACCAAGCTAGGGCAGCTCGGAACTAATTGTTGAGAATAAATTCATTACAGTTTGTATCGTGAACGGTGTAGGCCGTATTAGTTCTAATTTTTTTTTAAACCCGAAAATTCCGGTCAAGTTCTTAAGTCATATAGTATGAATTATCAAGTGACACAGATTCAACTTTAGTACATTTGAAATTTAATTATTATTTACAGTTCCTAGTCCTATTTAAGAGTATGACCACCTTGGAGGGATTGGATCTTAATGTCATCAATTTTGAAATCTAATTTTGCAACGTTCGCCTCTTGGTGAAGGTCTGAAACTCTTGCGTCAAAGGGACGATCAAGGATCAGCCTCTGTTCTGAGCGACCTGGATTTTGTTCCTGTGAGTCTGTGCACATGATTCCCACACCGGAGCTGCGTAGAGGATCGCAGGTGCTATAATTTGCTTGTAGACAGCCAGTTTGTTCACCCTTGAGAGGCGGGATCTGCGGCAAACCAGCGGATACAGACACCTAACCAAGGCGGAATACTTGACTACGGTTTTCTCCACATGCGAGCGGAATTGGAGCTTTTCGTCAAACAACATCCCGAGATAGGTTACTTCGGTGGACCACTCAACCCTTGTGCCATCCATGATTACAGTACAAGAGGGAGCTGGTTTTAGTTTGGGAGATTGCCGATGGAGGAACATGATTGTTTGTGTTTTAGAGGCATTGATTTTGATTTTCCAGGTGGTGGCATAATCAGCGAAGGAGTCAAGGCATCGTTGGAGCTTGTTTGTTATTTCACGAGGAATCCTACCCTTGACGGTTATTGCGGTATCATCTGCGAACAGGAAGAACACGCAACCGTCTCCGAGGGGAGGAATTTCAGAAGTGTAGATGTTGTAAAGCAAAGGGCCCTACAGACTTCCTTGCGGAACTCCTGCTGGGATGGAGAATGTGTTTGAAAAGCAGCCATTCCCTGAACGACCTTTTCTGAAGGTAGTTACGGGTGATTTTAACAAGATGCAAAGGAAAGTTGAAGTTACAAAGCTTGTATACAAGCCCATTGTGCCATACATTGTCAAACGCCTTTTCAACGTCTAACAATGCCATGGCTGTGGACTTGGATACAACCTTGTTACTTCGGATGTTATTCATCACCCGTACTAGCTGATGATTTGTGGAGTGCTCCTTCGTGAACCCGAACTGTTCCGGTAGGAGAATGTTGTGTTCCTCGACAAACTTGAGCAAACGATTGAAAGGAAGGCTGATCGGTCTCTAGCTTGAAGCTAGCGTTGGGTCCTTCCCGGGTTTACGGATAGGTATGATTTTCGCTGTCTTCCAGATAATTGAAAAGTACTGCAGTTCCAAGCATCTGTTGAAGACAGCAGCCAGCAGAGAGTGAACATTCATGCTGTGATTTTTCAACACTAGGTTGAATATTGCGTCGAAACCGGGGGCCTTCATGTTTTTGGTGCATTTCCGCGCTGAGCAAATCTGTTCCACTGTGATTCTATCCTCCGGAGGGATAGCACAAGGGGAGGAATCAAGGTTGACGACGCATTGCTCAACCGGAACTTCGAGCGGACTTTGGATGTTGAAGCCAAGCAAGTGCGAATTGGCAATATGCTCACCAATCGCATTTGCTTTCTCCTGAGGGGTGATTAGGAGCCGATCGTCATCGTATTCATCTTTGAGTGGTGTAATGGGTTTGATGGTGCGTCTTTAGGACCTTGGCAACTTTCCATTTACGAACATTTCTCAGGCCCCTCACAGGAACTCGTCGGACGCACGCCTCGTCAGTCACCGTTATGGCTTGGTGTGCCTGTCTACCACGCGTCCAAACTGGGCCCAGTTTACGCGATGGTAGTCCTTGCGCAGGCTTGGAACAGGGTCCACGTTGTAGCCCAGTTCAGCCAGCACCGGTTGGTGGTCGGAGCTGAGGCTACCGGCTTGGACAATCCGGTATTTGTCAGGAATAGGTATAGCGTCGATGGGTTGCCCGCCGGTGAGATAAATGTTGGCTCATCCGAAAACCAAACGGAGTACATCCCATGCTGTGAGTGGTCAAACAGCAGACGACCGTTCTGGTTCTGCTGGTCGTTCCGCCAGGCCTCATGGCGAGCGTTTAGATCTCCTCCAACTACGAAGCGGAAACTGGTACGGGTGATGGTGGACAGATCCTTCTTGAATTTAGCCGCTAATCCACTGCTGGCGGCACACTGTCAAGGGCAGTAGACGGCGATGAACTGGACGTATCCTGGACCTGGTGCAATCAAGCCGAATAATGTTGTGGTCAGGCAACCAGAAGCTGTCGCCAGACTTTAGATGGGTCTCGGTTAGAAAACCCACGTCGATGCTGTGCTTGCGGAGGCAAGCTCAATCTGTTTAGCTCTTACAGAGCAAGCATTCCAGGTGACGATAGTTAGCAGTTTAGACGCCATACTGGATGATAAACTTACCGAGGACTTGGATCTGCACGGGCTTATTGCGGCACTTACGTAGAGCATTCATCAGTTCATCTGCTGAGAACATATCGGGGTTGTTGTTTAACGCTGGTGGTTGTCTCCAGAATCCAGGGGGGTGGAGATCTTTGTCCAGCAGAATCACCGGAAGTTTCTTGAGGGGGCGGGTTGCACCGGCGAATTTGCTTGCCTTTGCTGGGGAGCACGAAGAGGCAGGAAATCCTCCGTCCGAAATACCGGGACATTGCCCTTCTTGCGTCCTGGTTGGTTGTTAGTTGCCGCCTGTTTTCGGATGCGTTTGAAGTCCTCGCGTTTGGAGCACTGTCTGTCGGAACCTTGATATGCATAGATGGTGCATTTTAAAGCCACGGCTCCATCCGCAGGGCAGTCAGTAGTGGCGTGTTCGTGAGCGCAGTTGCTGCAGCGTGGCTTGATGTTGCAGTTGCGGGTACCGTGTCCAAAATTGAGGCACCAGGAAAAGACAATCTGGGTACGTCTTCACGTTTTCGTCTCTCCTTGTCATTCGGAAGACAGCGATTGGAGCTAGCTTGTACCGGTCCTTGATTTTAGCTTCGACCATCTTGGGATCGAAGTTTGGTAGGCCCCTGATGACTACCTTGAAGGGCTTCTCACCGGAGATGTCATGCGCGAAGAATTCCGCCTTGGAATCCTTCAGGTATTTCATGGCCACCTCGTACTCCGCTTTCGTACAGAGCATCACCATAGTGCCGATCCTGCCGAGTTTAAACTCAGCTGCAAGGCCCAGCGATGAGAGATCGCCAATCAGCGTGTTGAGTGGCACTTTCTTTACCACCAGAGGAGGAAGCTTCATTTTTGCTGCACTCGGCCTGGCAGCAGTTTCGTTGTCGATGGCGTCGCCGAAATCACCAATGACGCTGACGTTCGTCGCGGTGGCATCGTCACGTCCACTCGCACCATCGGCCCTGATTTTTCTTCCTCTTCTTAGACCGCTTCACCGTGACTTAGATGATATTTCCAACATCGGTGGGAAGAGTTGCGTACCTATTCGAAATAGGTATACTCAAGCTACCCTCACCACTGTTGTTCTTCTCCGTTTTCTCTCGGAGCCTGCTCCGGGAGCGCTGTCTTCCAATCACGCGAAGCGACCGACACTACTGACGACGCGATTAAACCATAGAGGTAACTCTAAGACCAGAAGGTCGCGAAGAAACATGCTCAACTTTTTGGCTCAGCTCTGGTACTCTCTTCGGTCCCAAGCTAATCGATGCACCCCTCAAAACATAGGAAAATCCACGAACCCCTCATTTTATCTGTCAAACTTTCATAGCGAATCAAAACAAATAGTGCGTAGTACCAGAATTACGACTAGAATGGAGTACGTTAATCGTTTGCTTGGGACTAATAGGCTAGTCAAGTAGTGAGCCAATTTAAAATCGTTAGTTTCGTATTGATTGTTGATACCACTATCTGTTCGGGCTGTGTCATGACAGCTCGAAGAAAAATTTTGATTTGAGCTTTTTATGTGATCGGCCTACTTTGATCGATTTGGCAACACATTGAAAAGCACCGAAGAAGAGAAGATTGGTGCTGCCGAGCAAAACCGAGCTAAAGGGTGATACGGTCAAAATTTGGTCAAGGGAAAACGCGTGTAAATCGGTGAAATCGTTTATTTAAAAAATCAAATTAAATTTCTTTTTCAAGTTCAATTAGTATAAAATTCAGGAAAAATATTCAGTTAGGCTTCCGCTTTTCCAAATCCGAATTGCCGGGCCTTACGCTTGACCCCTGCCATCAGATTTTGTACAGCCACCTTGTCCACCTTCTTCGCCGCAGAAAGCCAGTTTGCCTTGAACTGCTGCTCGCCCTTAGCAGTTTTTTTGGTCTTCTTTAGGTTCCGCTTGACAATAGCCCAGTATTTCTCAATTGGGCGGAGCTCTGGCGTGTTGGGAGGGTTCTTGTCCTTGGGAACCACCTGCACGTTGTTGGCGGCGTACCACTCCATGGCCTTTTTACCGTAATGGCAAGATGCCAAATCCGGCCAAAACAGTACGGAACAACCGTGTTTCTTCAGGAAAGGCAGCAGACGTTTATTCAAACACTCTTTCACGTAAATTTCTTGGTTGACAGTCCCGGAAGCTATGAAAATGCTGCTTTTCAAGCCACAGGTACAGATGGCTTGCCAAACCAGATATTTCTTTGCGAACTTTGACAGTTTCATGTGCTTGAAAACATCTGCTACCTTTCCCCTTCCTTTTGCCGTATAAAACTCCTGTCCAGGAAGCTGCTTGTAGTCGGCTTTGACGTAGGTTTCGTCGTCCATTACCACGCAGTAAAACTTCGTCAGCATCGTCGTGTACAGCCTCCGGGATCGCGCTTTGGCCGTCGTATTTTGTTTATCATCGCGATTTGGAGTCACTACCTTCTTGTAAGTCGATAGTCCGGCTCGTTTTTTGGCTCGATGCACGGTTGTAGACGATACACCCAGCTTATTTGCGGCATCTCGGAGAGAGAGGTTAGGGTTTCGCTTGAAACTACCGGCAACTCTCTTTGTCGTCTCAGCGGCTTCCGGTTTTCGATTTCCCCCCGATCCAGACTTCCTGGCTGTCGACAAACGTTCCCCAAACACTTTAATTACATTTGTAACGGTTGATTTGGCAACTTTTAGCGATTTTGCCAACTTTGCGTGCGAGTAGCTCGGATTTTCGCGATGCGCGAGCAAAATTTTGATACGCTGCTCTTCTTGCTTGGACGGCATTTTGACAACTGAAGAGTGAATTCCAAAATCAAAATAGGAGCAACATTCTACACACACACACACACACCTTCAAAATGAGGGGTGTTCAGGTTTTTTAAATGCAAAATTGAAAGAAATACGTCAAGTTGATATTGACCAAATTTTGACCGTATCACCCTTTATTCATTCGTTCAAGCAGAAGCTCACTAGCGTTCGCCGCGAGCAGTTCAATTTTTTATTGTTAGAGTATTAGCGTAAATATATAGGTACAGTACAGAAGTTAAGTGTTTTCCTATCAAAATGTCCTTGCGAAATTCCTCGTGATAAATTACAGTCCGCGGTTGAACATTAAATGGTCCTACCGAACCGGATGTTCGATGAAGTTAAGTGAAATTGAATTTCGGAAGAACTGCGGAAATTGTGAAGACTGGCACTCCGCCACCGGAAGACAAAAAGCCATTTTGCAAGTGTTAGACAATAAGAAAAGACGGCAATGTGTTTGATGGGCGAAAAAAACACCGTCTTATAAAATAACAAACTGAAGAAAATTAAGTGAAGTGAGACCCCGAGGACACCAATTTCCGCCCAGGCACCGTGATTATAGACTTGGCTGTTTTCCGTGCTTGGTTCGGGCATAGGGCTCGGATTGTTTCGGCGATTCTCTGGTCATGTCGAAGAAAGGTGAAGCGGTGGGTAAACAGACGACTCCAAACGTGAAGGATAAGAAGAACCAGTAAGAAGAGATGGCGAAGTCAGAGCAAGTAGGCGTTCTCGTCCATCGTCGCGGTTTGGTTACAGGTAAGCGAACCAGATTATTCAACTATTTGTTCGCCAATGAAGAAGAAGAACGTCAATTAAGTGAGGCCCAGATTCGACACTATCTTAGGAAGCTATATGCTGTTCAGAAGGACTACAATGACCTAAATGAACGCATCTTACCGTTAGTCCCTGCTCAAAATCTAGCAGACCACGACCAGCACTATGTGCAGTTCGATGAACTTCAGGATAAATTAGCCGTAAAGCTCGAGGAACAACTAGCTAAGCTGCAAGCTACCGTAGCTGCGCCTGGAGCTACCATAGCCACCGCCCATCCTTAAGCACCCATTCTAGTACACCAACCTCTGAAGATACCAATTCCCACTTTCGATGTTCGCTACGAAAACCGGCCAAAGTTTAAGGTAATGTTTAAGGACCTGGTGGATAAAACTCCTGATCCCCCAGCTGTCAAACTATACCATCTCGACAAAGCTTTGATGGGAAGTGCAGCTGGTATAATCGATGCAAAAACCATCGGTGAAGGCAACTACAATCGTGCCTGGGAGATTTTAGAGGAGAGATACGAGAACAAGCGTCATACCATTGACAAACACATTCATGGTTTGCTGCATCTAAAGAAGATGTCCAAGGGAAACTACGAGAAGTTGAGGAGTTTGTTGGACGAATGCTCTAAACACGTCGAGAGTCTGATGTTCCTGGAGCAGGAGTTCATAGGAGTAAGGCAGTTCATCTTGGTGCATGTCCTAGCAGCCGCGTTGGACAGAGACATCAGAAGGCGCTGGGAGCACACGGTCAAGCACGGCGATCTTCCTAGCTATGATCAAATTATGAAGTATCTTAAGGAAGAGTGCTTCACTATGGAGCGATGCGATGATCCATCCACAAAGCAGCCTCACTTTCAAGCTAAACCATCCGCAGTTGCAATCAAACAAAGTCAAAGGTTCCTCACAGCAGTTAGCACGGATTCGGAATCACGATGTGACTTTTGTGAAAAAGGTCATCTCAACTATACATGCTCGGAGTTCAAGGGATTGTCGATTCAGCAACGAGTGGTCAAGGTAAGAGAGAACAACCTGTGCACTGGATTGGCTATTAGAGAAGATATACCACATATTGTTACTATTCGAAATGAGACGCACTATCCCAATTCACTTTTGTGCTATGCTGACTAGGCTATGAGGCCCCTTTTGAATGCCAATCCTATACCTCACCGGGCAAAATTTTGAAATCTGCATCATCAAGCCTTTTTTCCAAGATGGTGGACCTATAACCCACCTCAAGTCAAGCTCCTTACCTGCAAGTAGCGCCGGCGCCGTTTAGCGACATTCCCCTGCACAACGTTGCAGTCGCCTTGCTTGAAGATGACGCGCTTCCGGATGCGTCGCGATGAGAACCGCGTCTGTCGGTATCTGGAAGTAAGCAAACAAAACAAAACAGGTTAAAAACCACCGATTCAAACTTCTAGCGTCATTTACTCAAGTTCTCCAATCGTGTGTCTCCCCCGCCCACTCTGCTATTCACCACGAACGTTCACTCTAGTACTGCACCGTCTCCAGCAACAACGATTTGACAGCTGGTGGCCTAGACCCCCCAACCCCTCCACCCACCGTAGATCAAACACGACAATATTCCAGAGAAAGAGAGAAACAGAGAGAGAGAGAGGTGAGCGTGCACGAGCGAGAGAGTTGAGCAATCGCGGCTGACTGCCACCTACTACTGCGCGATACTAAATGCTTGTCATGCTCCCGCATCAAACGCTGGAGAAAAAAAAGTTGCAATTCTCTCGCTCTCACCCACTCGCTCTCCCCGTATCATCATTGAATCGAAATGAAAATTTTGACAGTTGCTCTATTTTTTATTTATATGGGCAAGCAGTGGCTGAACAGTTTTCGCAAAAATTGTCGTGTATTTGTTGGTGAAATTGCTCCCGCAGGTAGTTTGGCGTTTGTCTTTCGGAGGTTCCGTATCGGGCGTCACGGTTGCAGCTCGTTTCGGTATCGGTCGTGGCCGGGGGAGCCAAAGAAAAAGTGTTTCGAAATTTGCTGACATTTTCTAGCTTCAAGCCAGCGCGGACAGGTAGGCAGGGAGCGTCCCAGCAGCCAGTGGCGGAAGTGGAGCTCGATGGGAAGAAAGCTAGCAGATTAGTGAGAGGGAGGAAGAGCGAAGTGTTGAAAATTTTCTACTTTGGAATTTGGAGAGAAGGATTTCTGTTTTAGGGTGTCTGTATCTAGTCTGCAGAGTTTGATGCCGACGGTAGGGCACTTAGCGTCACATAACCTAGCGTAATTGGAGACCCTCCCCCTCCCTTGGATTCTCACCGAACAGCAGCTGAAGAGTCGAGAAGGAGCAGCAACAGTGGCACAGCAAAGGGAGAGTGAGTAGTGAGACACACAAAAAAGGTACACACAGACAGCGTATACGGACCGAATGAGGGAGCAGCAGAAATGAGCAGAAGAATTGAGCTCATACCGTAGTCCATTCGTGGCCCCCGTAGTTTGTGTGTCGTGGTTTCGATCGGTGAAAAATCCTGACAGCAGGACGGGGTTCCTGATAATTGCACCTACTGTTAATTTTCTGGTGAAAAATAATCCGTTTGCAAGGAACTAACCCTGTTGCAGCTGTAAGCAAGAAGGAGTAGGCCATGACTTGACAAACATCGCACCGAACAAGTGAGCTGCAAGATACACAAAAGTAGGCTAGCAAATGGAAGCAGAAGGTCAATATTCGATCTGAGAGCGAGCAAAGGAAAAATCCGATCCTGGCTGCCTCGAAAATTGGATTTTCCTCGTTTGCCACCTCACGTAATTGCACTCCTTTTGGTTTTAAAGCAGCACGGGAGCCAGATTGCATGTTCCAGGTCTATTAATTGTGGCTTTCGGGCGAGATAATCGTGCGGATCGAAGTTTCCTTTTCCCCCGCTCGCAGTGGTCGGTCGACCTGTTCTCCTATCCTCCCATTGTCGCCGTCGTTCTTCGGTTCCCTTCTGGGCTCTGCTGCACCTTCGCGTGTGTGAAGATAAGTTAATTAAAGGCAGTGCTTGCTTCGGATTTCGGAGCAACAGGAACCAAACCGGAAGGAAGCCTGTCCTTAATCCGGAGCGACAGTGCTTGGGGCGGTGGGTTCTAAACAGTGTCTACGGTGGGATTAATCTGAATACCTGACCAATCAGAATAAAATAGATGCCATTGGCAAAGTGTTTCGGTGACATGGAAAATTAATATCAATACAGAGAGCTCATAACAGGAGCAGCGAGAAGTGGAAAGCAGGGCAAAAGGAAAAAGTGGAAAAGAATCGACGGCTGTGAAAAATTGAGGAGCGAACTGCAAGAGCTGCCCAACACAACGGGAGGAAACGAGACGGACCGAAATTGAGCGAGCGGGCGAAAAAGGAAAATTTTCCTCCTGCTTCAGAACCGCGGCAACAGAACGCATAGACACTCAAGCCTGCTGCGAAAGAGAAACTGTGAGTAAAAGACGAGCCACCAGGGAGAGGGAGAGCAACCGACCTGGTCGGAAAAATCGGTTTTCCAAAAAAGCAGCAGTAGCAGCGCCTTCGGGGAAACAAAGGCAAAAGCGAGAGGAGCGGAAAAAAGCAAGTTTCCAAGAAAGCAGCACTCGGGAATATCTATATGGGCAAGAAAGTTTTTCCCGACAACGGAAAATATAGTTTGTTTATCGCTCAGGCTGCTGCAATTTCATCGGCGGTACCTACATGGATCGACGCTTTGCAACATTTCGAAACCTGCGAAAGACCAGCCTACCAAATCTAATTGTGTGTATATTTTTGTATTATTTTTAGAAATCCTCCCACTACGACGATTTCCTGTTGGTGTAGGAATTTTAGGTGTTTTCTTTAATGCGACAACAGTGATCGGTGACAAGTGCAAAAGCTAAGCGAATTGCATTTCCAATAACCCTGGCAGAAAGAAGAAGCTGATTGCGATTTTGACACATCTAGTAGAGTTCCGAGAAGAAAAAAAAAAGTAGGAAAAGTAGAGTGCAGTGCAAGCGAAGAAAAAAGAAGAAGTCACTAGGAAAATTCGGCAACAAGATAACATCAACCTCTGGCCGATTGCGAGTGTTTGAGTGTATGTGTGTGCGTGCATGCGAGTGCTAGTGGAAAATCATCAGTCGCCGTGGAGAAAACCCGGAGAGCGAGCGAAAGAAAACACGTCCAAGTAGTTCACTGATCGCCCGTCGTCATCGTCGACGGGAACCGCAGAGTGACGGAGAGAGTTGAGCGAAAGCACTCATACAATCGCATAGGATCCCACAATCGAGCGAAGGACGACAAGTAGTCGCCAACCGCAGAATCACTGGTACAAGGCAAAAAGGATCCATCGCGGAAAGCACGGAGGACTGTCCGAGCACACTCACAGCACACAAAGACAAGCTAAGCTAGGGAATAGAACCGGAGCAGAGCCAGACAAGAGCGATAGAATCAGCGCCCCTGGTACCGCTGCTGGTTTCTGTGTGGGTACACGTGTGTTTGTGCAGTGTGTGCGTGCGTGACACCATCAAAGGTTGACCGAAATCGGAACAGGCAGCAGTCCACTAGAGTCCAGGTGAGTGTGGCAGTTTTCAAAACCGACCGAATCCATCGAACAAAACTATGGGCTTCAAATGTGCCGGGAATTTTCAGCGATGCCTAGTGGCGGTCTATCCGGTTCTCCGGCAGTGAAAAAGTTAATCTAATTAGGACCGGGCTACTGCGATGGATGATGGGCAACGTGAATTTGCGGCAGTAGTCTGGTAGACAGTTCAACGAGTTCTGGTGCTGGTATCGTGTCAAGTATGAGATAGCTCTAAACTAACTGAATGGATTGTTTGGTTTCGTCGCCATGAGCCCCTTGGTCTACCTCTGCAGCAGCACCAGCACCGAAATTCGATTTGTTTTTTCTTTATCAAATTCAACTGAGCGCAGAATTATCGATCCAGGATGTACCAAGATTTTTGGGGAATATCAAAAATGTTCAGAGAAGTTTAAAAAACGTCAGACAATATTCAAGAACTACAGGATAGTACAGATTTTCGGGGAAGTTTAAAGATCGTTAAGTGTATGTTCTGAGAATTTCTGAGGCAGTTCCATGAACTTAAAAACCTGAAGATCATGGCAGTTTCATTAAGTTCAAGAACATTTCAGGAAGTTTACAAAAACTTCTGGTAAGTTCATAAAGATCTTTAAAAAAGGTCAGAGAGCTTCAGGAAAATTCAGAGAACTTCTGGACAGTTCCATAAACATCCTAAAAATTGTGAAAACTTTAGGGAAATTCCAGATATTCCAAGAACAATGTCCAAATAACTTCAACATAGTTTGGAGTTTTCATGAACATCAAGAAGATTTCTGGATCTTTAATGAAGTTCCAGGAATATCCGGAATTTTTTTAAATCTTTGAAAATTAACATCAGATTGGGAACCCTCAAGAAGCTCTGAAAATTTCATGAAAATTCCAAAATTTTCTAGACAGTTCGAAAAACTTCAGAGTATTTCTGAGATCTTAAAGAACGTCTAGACCTACAAGAATGTTTTGAGATCCTTAATATTAGGTTCCTATTGTTTCAGGGCAATGCCATAGATTTCAGGAAAGTTTCAAGAACTGTTCCAATAATAAGTTCAGCAAAATTTCATGAACTTTACACTAATTGCCAAAAGAGAATTCTGAGAACATCAAAGCAACCCCATGGAAATCATGAAAATGTCCAGAACTTCAGGGAAGTTCTAAGAGCTTCAGATAAGTTTCTGGAATTTGAAGGCATTTCCACTGAATTCAGGAAAATAGCGAGAAACTGTAAGATTTTCCAAAAATTAAAAATATTCCAAAGAACATCAGGGAAGTTAAGAGAACTAATGAAAAATTTAGGAAACTTCACAGAAGCTCCCAACAAATTCAAGGATGCGCATAAAACGTCGGGAAGCTAAGTGATCTTCAAGGTGGTATAATTAATTTCTGGACAATTACAGAAACATCCCCAGAAGAATAACGAGAACTTCAGAGAAGTTCAAAGAACTCTAGGAGAAAGGGCAGTTTCACTCATTTCAGGACTATTCCAGAAACATCGTCAGAAGAATAACGAGAACTTCAAAGAAGTTTCAGGACCTTCAAGGAAGATTAGAGACCTTCAGGGTAGTCCACACATTTTTTAGGAAGTCCAAAAAATTTCCGGGGAATGAAAGGAAATATCGAACATTTCGGAAAAGTTTCCGAAATTATAAGTTAATATCTGATAACTTCTATAAACTTTCGTCAGACCTACAGGAAAATTAAGAAGACCTCAGAAGAACACCATGAACCTCATACAAGCAATGTCTTGCGATCTTCAGACAAGCTCAGCGATCTTAAGGGCAGTCCCAATAGAAATTCTAGACTTTTGGGGAAGTTTAAAGAGATATTTTCAATAAATTCAGGATACCTCTATGAGTTCCAGGAAAACTTTCAATAATTCTGGAAATTTCCAGGAAATCCAGAGAACTCCCGAAAAATTGAGAAAACTATCTCTTTCTAACTCGATATTCTTCCTAGCTTGATGGAAATCCAGGCTACCAGACCACTATTACCATATAAATTTAAAAAATGTACCTCCATAACGCGATATCCTCCCTCACTCGATGGTTCAATATCGAGTTAGGGAGAGGGTTACTGTGTTTTGGCGTTGTGGGAAGAGAAGTCCGTAAATTATCGTGAAAATCTTCAGGTCGAGCAGTTTTGCTAGTTTCGAGAACAACAGTGAAATGAGAGAATCTCAATGCAGTTCAACTAACCTAATTAGAAATTCAGGGAATTTCCGGAAACTTTGGCAAGTTCTCTTCAGGGAAGTCCATAAAAAATTCCATAAATATCAAGAATTGTGTTGAAACATTGGAGAAGTTCCGAGAATCGCTTGAGTCAAATTAGAAATAGAAGGATGGTCCACACGTTTTTTCAGGAACTTTAATGAAGTTCAGAGGAATGAAAGAAAATACCGAACATTTCTGGGAAGGTTTTTGAACAGACTGCAAACATAAGGTAAGATCAGAGAACTTCTAGAAAATGTTGGGCACTTCCGGGGAGCATCGAGAACTTCCAAGCGGTTTTCATCAGTTTTAAGGAAACTGTGGGAACTATTAATAAGTTCCTAAAACTTTAGCGGAATTAAGAAAGAAGGCTTCAGAGAAGTCCGGATACTTTCTAGAAGGGAAAATCCGGACTTTTGGGGATGTTTGAAGATGTTTAAAGGATAGTTTCGATAAATTCAGGAAAGCTCCATGAGCTCCAGGAAAATTTCCATAAACTTTATGAGTTTGGGGAATTTCAGGAAAGTCCATAGATCTCCTGAGAAATTTAGAATACTTCATACAGACAGTCAAGTCTCCCTTACTCCTTAGACAAACAGTGGTAACACTTTATTCTGGATCATCATTTAACGATTGATTTGAATATTATCATTTCCGCGAACTGCTCACCGCAGCGCTGGCATTGGATCACTTTGACGTTTATATATATTCTGTTTACGTTGCATGCAACATTGTTAGCGACTTAGCGAGCAAGCTTGGTTTCTGCGAGAAGCTCGAGAGATGTCGTTACTGATGTCCTATTTATTGAGGTACAATGTTTTTGACAAAATCTCGAGTACTTTTTCAAAAGATCTTAAGTAACAAATGTAAACAAATTTAATTAATCGATACAAAATATTGCTCTTCTATCATTGTATGTGCTACAAAAACTTTCGTTTGAATTTACTTTAGCCGGCGCCGGTGCTGTAGTGATAAGCGTGACTACTTTCTTACCCCAATGGGTCTAGGTTCAATCCCAGCCGAGGTCGGTGGGATTTTTCTGTTGATCGCACCCATGCCATGTGTGTTTGAATGGGTGCGATATCCTACGCAGGTGTGGAAGCTGCCTTCCTGCACATTCGATTGCCGTCAATGGATGGCAATCGATGTCGACGTCGGTAATTGGCACTAGATTGCGGAACGGAGACCGACGTTAAGTAAAGGAATGAAGAAGTAAAAATTTACTTTCAACATAATCATAGGTAAAAAGTTGTCCACTGTACAAGTCATAATGATGGGTGCTTGATTGTTACTTCGGCCATTTTGTCTGCCTAGCGTGATTGGTGCTCATTTTCTAAAGGTGGGGCATGCAAAAACAATCTAGAGTTATAAGTAAGGATACCGGTAGTTTGTCCGGTGTTTGGTACTCTATTCTGAAGTCTGTGAAAGGGAATCTAGATGATGTAGACATAACCATTAACCCTTTGTATGTACCATGGCCACTTTGAAAGGCTGTAACTTTTTTATTTGTCGATGGATTTTACTGATTATTTCGTGACAAGGTGCGTTCACTGCAGCTCTGTAATATGAGAAGGAATATGCCCAAAAAACTTGAAAACATATTTATTGGGAATAATTAATTGAAATACTTGCGTTGTCTGTCCCCTGGGGTCAATTTGACCCCAAATTTAAATTGCCGTATCTTAACGAAATTTCAATGGATTTCTGATATTTCAAATGATTTGCAAAGTAAATTTAGTGGAATTTCTGTTTAAATCATCAGACTTTTTTGACACAGGACTACGTCTGTGATTTCTATATGGGGGTACACTTTGTGAAAACCGAAATTGGAACATGTAACAAAATTATGAAAGATTTTGAACGTCAATAACTCAGCTGCCCCTGGACCAATTGCAATAATTTTATCACCAATCGATCAGAAATATGTCTATGCATCTGTTAAATTTACGACTTTATCATTTTTCAAAATGTAACTATTAAAATTTGCACGAATGTGTAACTGTTGCTATGATATTTAAATTGCCTGCGAAAAGTGATTTCCCTAACACAGATTTAAAAGTTGAATTCCATCCGGTCTCACTAAACGGTGTTTATCCAATCACCGCGCTGTGAGTGATGATGTAATCCAGTACACAACGAAAGGCTGCCTGCTATCAAGGCTGACCTCAACCGCTGATACCGCTGATCGGATTCAGTTACAATCACCGTGTGTGGTGGTGTCTGGTCGTCGGTATCAGCAGCAGCAGTGCTTTCGACGCGTGGCGTTGAACATTGTTCTCGAGTACACAACGAAAGGCTGCCTACAAGCAGCGAGCTGCAGCCTACATGACCATCCATAGAAGGAGGAAGAAGCCGCAGTGCTTTTGATCGGAATCAGTAGCTCTTCGTGAGTCGCTGTGGGCTATATTTGGCAAGCCCGTCATACTAAAGAGTATAAACAGAGAGAACCCCGCTCAAATTCCTATTCCTACTCAAAACACAAGCTCCTGCTGCAGTTAACAAATACGATTTATTAGTTAAGAAAACGTAGTCCTACGTCACCATTGCGTACAACCCCACAGGGCTGTCCCTTGTAGTTTTTTTAGAAGAGCGGATCCCTCTAGGAGAGGGGTCATTGTGAACATATACCCATGAAGTGGAATATTATGCTGTAAGAAATGTTTATATCACGAGATCCCAACCATAGAGGATATTGCTTCCTTCTGCAAAGATATTCAATAACACAAGGTCTTTAAAACTATCGGTAGTGTATGACAGAATTTACTTACAAGATGGCACTGGAACGAAAATGAT